TCCAATCAGGAATCTGGAGATCCCAACTAGAGAGCTCCTAATCTCTTACCCAGTCTTAGTCACCCCTCACCAAGAGCTTTTCCCTAAACCCATGATTTGGGGGATTCAGTTTGGGATCCCCGTTCTATCTCAGCCAGAGCCTTCAACATACTGAATGCCACCATCTCCATCACCTTTTTAACTATGACTGTTAAGACCCCTAATGCCCTCCCCACCAGCAATGCAGCCATGACTTGAGACCTCACCCTCCTTAACCAAAATTCTTGTAGCCCTGAAACTCGACACAACCCCAATAAGAACCCTGGAGTTTAAGACAGTCTTCATTCTGATGCCCCCCCGCACTCCATCCCAGCATCCAGTACCCTCACTTCACCCCGCCCTGCCCCCAGCCTCCTGGTGGATTCAGGGATCGGAGACTGGCTGGCTCCGACCGGCTTTTCCTCCCATCCCCCGCCCCATGGCTCCAGGGCTTCACTGCCGGCTGCCTGCTCTTCTTCCAGTCCGCTCAGCTCAGAAACAAGCATCAAAAACCCTGTCACCCTGACGGCCTTAGTCCCAGGTAGCTGACCTCAGCTCCCCTCATTGGCTGCGTGGACTCACAGCTGGGACCTTGCCCACTGTCACCTTCTCACTTTCCCCCTGGAACTCCCCTCTTTCCTCGCTCCGATTCCTCCTCACTCTAAATGGCCCGCCCAGATCTCCTCATTCCCCTCCAGCCTCCAGCCCTTCCTCCTTTGGGACCCCCCCACCCCCACCCCAGCCCGGAGCCTCCTTATCCTTCTTTGTCCCAGGCTCTCCTGGATATGGGCTTCTGGACCCCCGGGGTCCCATGCTGTAAGCCCCAAGTCCAAACTCCACCTCCCTTCAATCTCGGGAGACGTACTCCCCCTTTCTGGGGACCCTTTCTTAGACTCACATCCTCCTTTACCAGGCTCAGGCCCACCCCCTCATCCAGGACCGCCTCCCTTGAGGACCTGGCCTGCGCCCTCCCTCGTACCCACGGTCTCTAAGACTCGGACACGGAGAGTATAGTTGTCCCACTCTAGGACCCTCGGACCTCGTCCTCCAGGATTTCTTAGGCCCAAATATCCCTCCATCCTCCATTGCCTCTCGTACTCGGGTATCCGATTGCCAGAATCCCACCCCCTCCAGAGCCACTCGGGTCTCTTTCAGCCCCAAACCCCGGCTCCCAGCCACCTCAAGGGGAGCCCCCTTACCTCCTTCCAGGACCCTTCCCTCGCGCTCACCTCGCTCAGGGCTGGGCGGACGCTCCGGGC